GGGTGCCGTCAGAATGAGAGTCCAAACAGCTGATAAAAACATCACAATATTCCACAGCACTCCAGTCCATCAGTGAACATCTGGAGAAGACGAAAACTAAAACAATCCATCAAGAAATATGAGTCCATAATCCATAATAAGGCTTCCTGCCGTGAAAAGTGCATCTGCTGTTGTCTCTCACATCAAAATCCAGCCACATGTGTGTTTAGAGCTGTTTAAACGCTGCTTGATCTGTGCAGGTTTCTCTCCTGATTCACACCAGAACACTGACTCACTGGAGGAAGAGTTATGGACTCGTTTTTTCTAATTGTTTCTGCATATATTTCCACAATTACATAAATTAAATCGCCAAAATGTGCTTTATACTGTTTTGTCTAGCTTTTCAAATAAAAAATAAATGACAAAACAATTTTAAAATATTTAACACTAATTATTTTTTTAAACATTTTAGCAGACATTATACCAACAAAGCACAATTAGTAAAATAATATTTTTTGGCCATCTTTGAGACCCCCTTATTTTTACTGCATAAATAAATGCAGCCTTGCTGAGCAGAAGAGACTTATTTTAAAACATTAGAAAATATTACAGATCCCAATTTGAACACTATGTGTGAATGTTATAATAAATGTATTAATAGAGCTTTTGTAATTATTATCATCTTTTCTTATTTTATTAAAAATGTGACTGAGCAGCTGACGAGTAGGCTAGATTTTCCTCGCGTTTGGACTCTGAACTCTGGCTAACGAGTTTGTGCAGCGCTGTCAGAATACATGTAATGCGTGTTTTAGAAAGCATGACGTTCTGCAGTTTGTATACTAATTGTTTAAGGCCATTTCTCCATTTGAAGCATCGTACAGCAACCCATTCCACTTCTCCCTGAAGACATGAGATGCAGCACTAAGCAGTCTCGCCCGGACAGATTTAATGTTTCCACACTGACGACATGTTTGCTGGATTACTGTGCACCTCTATTTGATCGTGTCACGTCATTGTTCGGTAACATTTATTCGGGGTTTTTTTGAGTTGCTATTTTCGGCTGAATAATTTCGGTTGCCGAATATTCGGTGCATCACTAGTTTGGACTCTCATTCTGACGGCACCCATTCACTGCAGAGGATACATTGATGAGAAAGTGATGCAGTGCTACATTTCTCCAAATCTGATGAAGAAACAAACATCCTAGTCTTGAATGACCTGAGGATGAGCACATTTTCATTTTTGCCTGAATTATTCCTTTTAATCAGAGCTGTCAATCACACTGGACCTCAGTCATGAAACAATAAACAAGAGTTAACAAACAATAACTAATCCTAAACTGCTGCAACAATTTAACAATAGTCATCATTGGTTGCCTGGTAACTGTTTGAAAATGTAACAATGTAACATAAGTCGCATTCGTGGTAACAGACGGTGAACGAACACAAACAGATGGAGGAGGAGCGAATCCCGGAGATTCTTCACAGTGCGGCGCAGACGGTCTTGCCGTGGCAACAGTGCTGGTGTTGGCGGGAGAGTACAGTCGGATCTACCGGACGACGCGGCGTCTCTTCCCTCTGGCGGGCCGTGCAGGTCTGGACAACGCTATCTGCATCACAACACATCAGACACAGGGTAATGCAGCTCAGAGTGTGAGTGTGTGAGTGTGTGAGAGAGTGAGTGAGTGAGTGTGTGTGTGTGTGAGTGAGTGAGTG